CGAACTACCTTTCATTATTTACCAGAGCATCAAGAAAATATGTACAAACATGGATGTGAGCTTTGGTTTTAATTTTTTGAAAGCATTTCACTTTTTTCCTTCCTGTGTGAGTAACCTTATTTAAGCAGTAAGGTGAATGAGTATTCGAGGTGAAAACCTGCTAGAATCTTACTCTCGTATTTATGTGCACACTATGCTTATGTGCTTGTACAATATACTGCTGTAGTGTTCTGTCATACATAACTTCTTAAACAGAAATGGACACTGGCATGATGACACATGGATGATCACAAATGGAAGAACAATGCTGATTTCCAAACTAGCTCAAAATAGTGTGTTTTCCAGACCAGAGTATGCTATATCATTCCTTTTGGTTCCTGAGGCTATTTTAAAATGCAGAAATCCAGCTACTTGTTCAGATGGTGTTTTGAATGTTTGTGTATTGCGTGTTGCATCCCTATAATAGCTTTGTAACGAATTTCATAGTTGTTTTGGGGAAGAAAATTCTTAGTTCAGTAAGAAGCATAAGCTTGTACAAGCTTGTGTTTAAATAATAAGAAAGGTTGGGGGTGAAAGCATCAGTTGACTGAAAGAAAGATGGTTTGTTTTCATTTTGAGGTTTTATGATGTTAGTTGCCTTTGAACATACTTAAGCATCTCTCGTTGAAAATGCTTATTACAGTGCTTCTGAAATTATAGTGAATAAACACATTCTTGTTGCTGACCCTTTAGACATGTTGGAGTTTCCAGTTGGACTCAGGATTCTATTTCTGTTTCTCTGATAATCTTTCCATTGTTAATCGTGGCGTAGACAAATCCTGCAGTCTGATTCTTTTACAACTACTTTTTCAGTGCAGTGTTTTCATTATAAGGAAATACTTTTAATATAATAAAATTTCCTGTTGTCTTGGACAGGGTTGATTTAAGGTAGGAACTACTATCTCAAAGTACAAGTCTGCAGAATGGAGTCTCAGTAAAAGACACCTGAAGTACACTTTTGATTATAACTTGCCTCTGTCCCAAAGCTGTTGCTCTCTGATGACAGCAATTTGTTAATTTCAGAATTTTAGAATTTTGCAATTGTGTCTTTTCTTGAAAATGTCAAAATGGTATATTTGAAGCATTGTTCTTGGGCTTTTCATCTTTCCTTATATGTTTTGATATCACATCATCTCATGCTTGTCCTGGCATACTAAAAGCTACAGTTGCTTGTGTAAGAATCAGCTTGAAAGAGTAAATGGTTAGGTGTTTTTTTTTTTCTAAATTATTGGTAGGGTTTTTTCATTTATACTATAATTAAAACAGTAAGTTATGATTAAATGTTGCAAGTGGCTACTTCTAATTAAAGCCTCAGTAATTTTTCATAAAATAATATCATAATACTGTGCTACATGTGTTTAATGGTGAACAAACTTAATGAATTGTTTTGGAAAATAAACAGTTGGCTTACAGCAGTTGTGGGTGTAGCTGTTTAAATAGCATTTAAAACTGATAAAGTTGACTAATGCAGTCCATAGTGGATAATGAAATAGTACCTAGACCATACTTTCTTGCAGGAAGCCTTACTTGCATGTGGAAGATTATACTGTATTGGTGCCTTATTTTATCTAAGTATCCCAGAATGACACTACTTACTTTATTATTCTATTCTGACATACACTTGAACAGAATAGAGGGTGAAGTGTTGAAAAATAACTTGAATCCTGAAATTACTTTGGCACTATACCTGGTATGATCTAAGCAGAAGCAACAGCTACTTAAACTTTGCTACCCTGCAAATACTTTAAGAACGTAAGTGGCTGGCTTTATGGTGTCATACTAGAACAGTTATTCCTTTTACATTTCTTAGATCTAATTTATTTCTAAATGACTCCTTAAAAAAAAAAAAAAAACCACCACCCACAAAACGTAAAACAACAACAACAAAAAACCCCAAACCACCAAAACCAAAAAACAACAAAACATCCACCAACCCCCCAAACCTCCTAACCCTTAAACTTTTGCTGTTTGTCTGTCTTATTGTGAATAAAAATGTCATATTCTTGGAAAGGTGTGATAACTCTCAGTTAGGTAATGATTCGCTAAAGTATGGTGCATGTTTGCTGTGATCAACAACAGTGAGAAAATGGCTGTAAAAAAGAAAATGTCGAGCTTTTTAATTGGAATGTGCACTCTTTGAGTTGTTACTGTTTTGAGTTCTTATGTCGAAAAGTTCAGATACAGGTATCTGAGCATTTTGTCTCTGCCTTAATTTATCAAATCAATCCTTTAATTAACGTCCTTTGGGATATCTCCTTCCAGTAACAGAGCTTGTATTAAGAGAGATCCCTTTTACAGAACTAGCAAGTTAATATTAGCTGTTTGTTTCTTAAGTGAGACACTATCCTCTGTGTGCCTTTTGCAAGCAAACGTTGACAGGCTCATAGGAAATGCAGCTGACGTTAGGAAGCTTGGGTGGGGACTACAGAGAGCTGGCAAATAGTACAGGGTTTAGTGCCAGACTTGCTGACACAACAGTACTTTACTTGTAAAAGTTTTCTTTAGGCTGCTAATTCCGTCTTCAGAGTAACTGGAACTAAAGCAGTGTCTCTGATGCCAAGTTAAAATAGCTAAAGCAACAGTTTAGTGGAAATTGAGAATACTGGTTTCTTTCCACAGCTTAGATCCTCAGAAATATTAGTAAAAAGAACAAGCCTCCTCTCTTAATGAAAGGATGAGTTGTGAACAGTGCCATAGAATGAATGTACTGCAAAACAAGTCCCATCTAACTGTAGAATAAGTGGCAAAAAGAGGGAAAGCTAGCAGTGTAAAGTATCTGTAAATACCAAGCTCTGTCTGTTTTATGTAACAGTTTCCATTTATTTGATTTGCCAGTTCATAGTCATATTTCCTAAGGCGTGCTTTTAATAGCTTCCCTTAGCCTTCAAATAAAAATTCTTTACTTCAAGTGTATCTAAACATTGAGAAATGCCATGTTGTTGAATGCAAACACTGCTACAGCCATTTGACCGTGTCACCTTAAGTATAATGTGTTTTGTCTTGAATTTACAATATTTCTGGTCCTTGTAAAAGCCTAAGGAGTAGTAAAGCAAAGCTTTGAAGGGATGCAAAAGTGGAATCCAGCTTCTGTATGTTTCACAGAAGTTCAGGCAGAGTAGGAGTTGCTGGTTCCCTGCTGTCTCCACTCTTGTATGTGGGAGGGCTTTTAGGTGACATCATGGAGAGAAGCTTTGCAGGGGGGGCATACCTGATTTATAGAATATAAAAAATGGTGCAGTCTGTGGAAGGATGCAGCTCTATTACATAAGCGTACTGGCATTTTGGGGGATTTCAGCACCACTCTTAGATTTTTAGGAAGAGCTTCCTTCCCGTCTCTGGAATGCTTAGATGTACTTAACAGGACTCAAAACAGTGTTGGAAGAAATGAGATTCAGATGGTGAATTTAATCTGTTCAGTGTTTGCTTGGTGCAGTATGCCATGCCAGGATAGCTTTAATATTATTGCCCCTTTTAAGGTAAGCAGCTGCATTGTGCTCTCCCACAAAAGTAAAATCTCAGTAGAAGGCTGAAGCATCTTTGTCTAGACCAACTGGATGGCAGTATCTTCTATCTGTGGAAGGCACTAGCTTCTGCTGACCTCAGAATTGTAGATCACCTCTGAAGTCTCCTGTTCCCCAATTATTTTATCAAGGTAAAGTGAAATATAAGCAATAAATGAAGAGAAGGAAAGGCTATTTTTAGATCATGGAGATTTTTTGCATGAACTGTTGACATATAAATTCGAACCCAGTTTTTCTCTGAGATCACCTTTATCATCTTTTGTAACGTTCTAATCAGTTCAACTCTGCAACACTAGTATCTACCAGACCAAGATTTGTTTTTTCCTGAAAACTAGCATTTAGAAAGTTTGCTTTTAAATCTACGAAATGTAAACTGGTGCTTTCTGAAGGCAGTGTAGCAAATTACTATGTAGTCCATGACTTGACCAAATCAAGCTGTACAGCACACCGTGAATTTTTTGTGTAGCTCTTGCTGGTGATCTGTTCTCATGTCTCTCTGGACTTCTATAGCACATTTCTAGATTTTACTCTTCTGTGGTACCTGATCGCTCCCAAATTGTTGCCTATGTCATTTTCTGCCCCAAGTATGTAAATTTTCATTCTGAACCAGATCGTGGGTTTAGTAGTGTGGATGTACCCAGGAAGGCATTGTATGCCTTAGCTCCATATAAGGTGCTTGGAGAACATGTTTGGGGAAGATAATAGAGGCTTGTTTAACAAAAGTTTAATTTTCTTTGAAGTGATAACAGATAACCTTTGGAGAACATGAAGTCTTTATCTTGGTCACTTAAATTTGTTGAATGAAGGAGGGTCTGATAGCAGTAATGGTGACTCTTCACTTCCAGAGAGGAGTTTCTTTGTTAGGTAAAAATTGTGCACTATCACTGGAGTGATCTGGACAGTGTCCAAGATTTAAACTGTCTCATGGGATGTATTGCTGACATTCTCTGTGGCCTGTTTAAGCATTTCTCTTTACAGATGTGTAGAGTCAGCTATTTGCAGTGCAGTGAAACTGCACTTCCTGTGGGTTGAATGGTGTTGCTTAACTGTGGTCAGCTGAATTCCTTGGACACGAGTTGAATTTTTGTCATGTAAAGTCAGTAGAAGTTGCCAACAACAACTGGTGATGAATGCACGTACAAGGCTAGCATGGAATAATTTCTGACGGTCTATTAAATATTGTAAACTCTGTTCTTAATTTTTTCTGCATGATTCTGACAAAAGTGAGCTTCAAGAATGGCGTTGTAATTATCCGTTGCAGTTTTCACACTAGCTCTTTACTTGTGAGAAGGATAAACTGTGAATGTATGCAATTTTTATAAAGCTTGTGGACAGAAATGTGCTTTGACTTCCGAACACTTTTTCAGAAACTCAGTCGCTGACACCAGTTTTCTGAGACACTGATAAAATTTGACTATCAAACTTTTTTTTTTTTCTCAGATGGAGCAATTATCAGATGAAGAACTTGACCATGGTGCGGAAGAAGATAGTGATAAGGAAGACCAGGATCTGGACAAGATGTTTGGGGCCTGGCTGGGGGAGCTGGACAAACTCACACAGGTTAGGGAGGCTTCAATATTTCTTTATAAGCATTACATGTTTCTTTTCAGTTAGATGCTAACTACTTAGTACTGCCACTTGCAGCAAGGTAGACTAGCATGTGACCAGCTCAGTACTCTTTAGAGATTTCTAAATTTTCTTGTTTTCCCCATCTCAAAGTTGTTAAATGCATTTTTTACAACCCTCTAGTTTGACCTTTCCCAAAGGATGTGATTCCTTTTGACAGCTATGGACTTGGTGTTTTGTTCTCATGTATAGAGAAACACTGACTAGCTGGCTAGAGGTAGGCTGTATCTCCAAACAAATGGATGGACTTTGTCCATCTATGACAGCATTTATTTGTTGCACCTGAACAAAGAAGAAGTTGTGAATGTTGCCACTGATGACATGGTAGGGTGCCCTGATACACCATAAAGGACTCACCATTATTCCGGAGTACTCCTCCTTCATCAGAGAGTCAGCTGATAGGACATATTCTTTTGGCACTTGCTTCCTTCCAGTGCTTTTCCTTTCCTTCACAAGCAGATCTTGCATTTTGCATGGTATGCCAGACTCGTGGGGTGATATAGCAGGCAGTCACAGAGAAATGGCCTGTTTTTTTCAGCAATGTGAATTGGCCCCCCTGAATAATTTATCTCATCTTTTACCTCTTTGTCACATAGACTTCAGCAAAGGTATGATACCTCAAGTCTCAGTAAACTAGAGAAGAGGCAGCTTTTCTCATCTTCATCTTACCCAAAGACTGAAGGAGAATTGAGCTAAACATGCGGCAGCATTTCAAGTTCAGGCTCATCTCTTATCTTCTGGTTAAATCTCTGTCTGCAAGATCTAAATGTAGATAGCACTCTAGGGGAAGATGATTTTTTACTGAACTTGTGCATGCAGGGCAACAAAGAATCCTGCCTTTTGCGATGAATGAAAGATGGTGTGAAATAAAACTATGTTGTAATTCTTGGCTTTTTTTTAACTTCCTATGAAGGATTTTTAATGGTAAGTGGGAGCAGTTTTGAAAGCCATGGGCTCTGTAAATTGCTTTGTGTGATGTTCTTCAGAGGAGCACAACAGGCAATTGATCTTAGACATTTTGTTCTTTGCTCCATTTTTTTTTTTTTCAGGTATAATCAGCCTAGAAATATAAGCATACTTTACTTGGGGCTTGCAGCTACACTGTTGACATACAGTCTTTATGGTGATGTCTCAATTTGTGTGCTGATCCATGCAAAATTCTGAAAACCTACTAACAGATGGTTAAGGGGAGGACCCATGTTACTTGTTTCTCACTTTCATATTGTTGTATAACAGAGTCTGCAACATAGCCTGACAGTTGCCCTTCTGTCTTTTGCAACTAGTGAGAAATTACATTTTCCCCAAAACTTTGAATGACCTCATATGGTTTTGTATAAACAAGTTAATACAGTTACTTGGGTCTCAGTTAGTTTGCTTGGAAAGTGATTGTATCTTGATGCAGCTGTCCCAATAAAGGGGGGTGATTAGAGCTAATGAGCTCCAAAGTGCATTCTCCTGTAGTATCAACATTTATTTGTTTGTTTTTATCAGCTGGACCCTTAAGAGCAGTAGGGCGAAATATTATTTTTTGTCCCTGAGTTCCTTGAACTTTAACTTCCTTTTTAGATTTCCTAAATGTTTATTTTGGGGGGATTGAAAGAAAGACCCAGATTCCTTTCCAGATGGAAGTGCTTCTTATGAGATTTGTGATTGTTAAGATGCCCATGAGATCATTGAATTCACTTTGCCCTCTTTAACTGTTGGTCTAATAAAAGTGTTATAAAATGTAGTCACAAAATTTGCAGCACATTTGAACAGTGTTTGGCACTGATTCTGCTCTAGTTATGCTGCTCTGTGGTACAGGTTAAATGAAGGAAATCTTACCTTGCTTCTCAAGATCATTCAGAGCTAAGCTTTTGGTTCTGTTGCAGCTTTCAGTAGTTTTCCAAACTGTTAGTTTAGCATCATAATGTGTTATGGAGAAAGTGCTCTGATAATAGTGAGATCATATCACATGTTCCTAAGGATGTGAAATAACTTAATAATTATGAAATTCAGTAAACTACATTTTAAATGCTTTTAACCAGAATATATTTGCTTTACAGGAAATTTTTTGTGGCAGTCTATGAGTTCAGTCTGAAGGAATGATCCTTAACTTGCCTATTCTGTCTCCAATTTCACTGCTGCCTCTGGGCTTATAGAGAGATCATAGGATCATAGAATGGTTTGGTTTGGAAGCAACCTTAAAGATCATCCAGTTCTAACCCCACTGCATAGGCAGGGACAGCCTTCGCTAGACCAGGTTGCTCAAAGCCCCGCCCAACCTGGCCTTGAACCCTTCCAGGGATGAGGCATCCACCACCTCTCTGGGCAACCTGTTCCAGGTTTTATTATTATTTTATTTTTTCCAGCTATTCTGTGTGGGACAATATGTAAGCTCTGTCAAAGGTACTAGAGGTAAGGCTTTTTCTACCTGACGGAAGACAGGGCTGCATCACTGGCTCACACTCATTAAGCGATGATTGACTTCCTAATAAAGGTGTTTGGTTTTTTTTTTTTTTGAAGTTCAAGCCAAACTGAGGAGAGAAGAGTTCAGCAAAAATAAATACTAGGGAAAAAAATAGTGCATTTGATTTTTAGCAAAGACTTGAGTAAAGATGTAGAAGATAGAAATAAAAAGCCTACATGAGAAACCTTGTTCCGTTGGAGATAGACGATGCTTTTATTTCAGACAAGCATATCTTCAGGAAAGCTTTATCAGTACAAGCATTGCTTAAATACAAACCATCTGCAAGCCTGTTGAGCCTCAGCGACAGCAAGAGCTAGATTCCCCATGTAACACTTGTCACTCTAAGAGCAACAGCTCCAGACCCTGCTGTGCACCTCTCGGGTCACCAGCTGGATCATAGTGCCCTACTGCTTGCTACTTAAAAAATTCTGGTATTTATTATAATATGTCCATATTAGCCTTCATTACATAATAATTCAATGTATTGGAAAGAAAGATTTTTTTTTTTTTTTTTTTTTTTTTTGTAACTTATATTAGGTTTTCTAAAAAAATTTATCCTGCATAAACTGGCTGGGGTTTGCTTTCACAATTTAACATTTTTTACAGGAAAGGCTCATTGAGAAAAATGTCTGAATTCAGCCAGTTTAAAATCCCTTTTAATAAAACAGAATTCTCCATTGAATGCTTTTGTGTGCTTATGCCATGATTATGCTTATAAACTAATGATGCATTTCTTAAAGAGGGTGCCACAGTTTGAATGTGTTTAGATATTTGTGCAATTCTCTGCAGAGATGTTGTTATGGGTAAGCCAGCTGTCTGTTTCAAAAAGAACTAGTATGTCACACCACTTAAAAATACATTTGAAATATACTTCCATTCTTTTATTCCAGAATGTGGAAACCAGAATGTGTTTAGCATCTTTTCTCTATTGAATATCTGAAGCTAAATCTCTGTGGTATGATGATGTATGTTTTCAGCCTAAAGCCTGAAAGAGATATATATTTTTTTAATATACCAGGAATTTTTGAAAAATTTCTCTTAGAGAATATTAATTTCCATTCATCTTGAAGATTTGCTTGTCCATTTCCTTTTCACACTTCATTCTCCTTTTTTTTTTTTTTGGTCTTTTTCAGAGTTTGGATACAGACAAGCCTATGGCACCAGTGAAGAGATCACCTCTTCGTCAGGAAACCAATCTTGCCAACTTCTCATATCGCTTCTCTATGTACAATTTGAATGGTTTGTTGAATTATTTACCCCCTCAGATACTAGTTTAGGAAAAAATCTGTTCCAGCTATAAATGAGAACATTGTAAAATATAAGAGCATTTAAATATACTTTTAGCTGAAGTGAGAATGTTTTTGCTGAAAGCATTGCTTTCTGATGGCACAGGATTTTGAGTATCCTAAAGCAGTATCTTTTACAGCACCTAGTATCTGAGAGTTGTGGTTTTGTGTTTGTACAGAAATATATGTTCTGGGATCTGGTCTCAGAAAAGAATGAATTGATGTATATCTGTTAAACGAGAAGAAAGAGCATCTTGCTTCATGGGACAGGATATAGGAATATAGCTACAGAATGCTTTCATGTTAAACAAAAATCATGTTTTCCCTTGTCTTAAAATAGCTTCCACTGGTTGTAATACAGGAAGCCTTAATTTAAAGGCCTGAGTACATATAGAGTGTTTTGTGGATTTTTTTAAAGCGGTGTCACATACCTTGCATTGCTTTAGTAGAAATTGCTTAGCAAAACACCTACACTTTTTTTGAAAAGTTGAGGCATGGTATTATACAAATGTATTTTTAGACTCTGTTCACAGGGTAGAAGTTTAAACTTTTCAAATGTAATCTGAACATTCGTAGATTTCTTCTGTTGGCAAATGTATTTAACCTAAATAGCTGTGTGGGTTTTAATTGCTTTTAGACTGGTCAAGAGTAGTAGTACAAATAAATTTCTGCTTAGCAGTGAGCAGAGATTCTGCAATACAAATGGGAAAAGGAAGGTACAGCTTCTTTTGCTCCCTTACCCTAACTGTTAAATTTGATAACACAAAGCATAGAGTTGCACAGACAAATGAAATTACTCTGCACGTACTGAAAACTCTTGTTTGTTGCAGAAGCCCTGAATCAGGGGGAGACGGTGGATTTAGATGCCCTCATGGCTGATCTCTGTTCCATAGAGCAGGAGCTCAGCAGCATTGGGTCTCATTCAGCAAACAATGCTGCAGTGAAACGCCTTGCCGCAGAATCCAAAGCTCAGAAACCACCTGCTAGCCGACCTTCTACTAAGCACAGCAGCATGAAAGGATTATCCTCCTCATCTGGTAAGGCAACTAAACCATCACATGCCAATGTATCTTTGGATGACATCACTGCACAGTTGGAGAAGGCCTCTTTGAGTATGGATGAAGCAGCCCAACAGTCTGTTGCAGAAGACACCAAACCAGTAGTTACTGCTCAGCACAGGAGGACAGCATCTGCTGGCACAGTGAGTGATGCTGAGGTGCGCTCAATCAGTAACTCCTCCCGTTCCAGCATAACCTCTGCAGCTTCCAGCATGGACTCCTTGGATATCGATAAGGTGACAAGACCTCAGGAACTGGACTTGACATCACAAGGACAACCAGTCACTGAGGTAGTGTCATTAATTCAAGATCTTGTTTCGTTTTGTTTTTTTCTTCAAACTATTCATTTTTGTTTTGTTTGCAAGGAATCTTTTTAAAGAATGTGTACTTTTTTTTTTTAAAGGGCTTTCCCCATATCTTCCTCCTCCTAAGCCAGTAATGGATTATAATGTTTTATAGTTAATGTTTTATAATAAGTGAATCCCATATATTGCTTTTAATTTAAATCTGAGGAGTGCACAGCTGTGGAAAAAAGTATAACTGACAAGACTGCATTCCTGTTACAGTATACTTAATACCTGAAATGCATGGAGCAATTTATGAATGCCTGTCTGGAGATATACTATATCAGTAATTTGCTGCTACTTAATATTCCTGTTTAATGTATGACAGGGAGAAATCTTTGAAGTAATTCACAACACAGAAAAACAACTGGGCTGGGATACAGCAGTAGCAGATGTTCATTTGGGATTTTGGTGACTCGGTGTTGCTTAATCAGAGAGGAAACTTCAGTAACTTTCCAGTTTGGGGAACACTGAATGTGCTGGTGACTCGTGTGAGGAAATGTTCCAGTGAATTTAGAGAACTTAAACTAGAAGCTGTCTTGTAGAAATATATTCTGAAACACAAATCTAGCCTGTTCAGAAGTCAGTTGTACTAATATGCATGTTCTCTTTAATGGGAGAAAACTGGAACAAGTTGAGTTTATTCTAATCAATAATTAACACTAATTTGGATGAGCTGTGCTGAAAGCATGCCTCTACCCATCTGCAGGAAAAGTTTATCTAATGTAAAGTGAATGATGCAAACTTCTCTGCCTAATGATCAACTCATCAAGGTCACACTTAGATGTAAAACATTATTTGAAATGGTGAGAAATGAATGAGTGACAGTTGTGGTAAACTTTTTTTTTGTATAGAAGTCGGTGTTCAGTATATTGTTATTGGAGATTCATATTGAGTGAAGCAAAACAGAGGTAGCTAAAAATGTGTCCCTTTCTCTTTGGAAAGTTAAAATGCAAACCTTTGCATTATTGCTGTAGGCCTAAGTATGTTGGAGCCAGCCCATGACAATCATTAATTATATTGTTGTTTGTTTGTCAATTATTTTCTTTCTGTGGTATGACAAGGCCTATTTTTGTTTTTTTTTGTTTTTTTTTTTTTGGATCCGTTATTCATGCTGATATTGGGGCTTTTTTGTAATGTAGAAAGGTAGGCAATATTGCATTTTTGTCTCTCCTCAGTCTAAAATTATGATTTGCTTGAATTAATTGCTTCTGTAATTTGCATAGCACAAGAAAAACTTGAATTCCGCATTTCTTAGTGTTTAAAAATGCAGGATGTTTTCTGCAGTTCATTTTGCAGGTCTCCTAGATCTCAGCCTCTCTTACTTGAAGAGCGGTATGCTTGAGGCATTAGTAAAATTGCCCTTCTTGTCTCCCAGATTGTTCAGTTCTTCATGGCATGAGTAATCAACAAATCACCTGCTGCACTTAAAATGGAATGTTGGTGAATCAAGAGACAGTTGCTTTGTCTTCATGGGATGGTAATCTATATTGCTGCAAGTGTTGCAGTTGCTTTCTGAGCAATTAGCCACTGACTGCAAGGATCAAAATCACCCCCAAAAGCATTTCTCACAGACATGTGAGAGCTGCCTTTGTAAACCCAGTGATTGCTTCTCATAAGAATGTGGCTATTGTTTCTCTGCCCAGATAAGTTGATAAGAATGATTCCTTTGAAGGAGGTAACCAGAAAGTATTGGTAATTTGAGAGCCAAATTCTGCTCTCCTCTTGAGAGCAGAAACCTCTACACTCATTAACAGTGCTGCTTTGTTTTAGCTCTATCTGTTCTTTTTAATTTCAATAGCCTGAGGAAGGTGTTCAATTCAGACGTTTTCCCTAAGTTACGGAACTGGTATTCAGCTATTCAGTATTAAAACTGTTATGTGATGGGGTGGGACTTTTTACTGTGAAGCAACTTTTTTTTCTTACAACTGGTGAATGGAAATGGGGAAAATGACATTTATTTGGATTTTGTGATGGATTCAGTGATGGTGGTTTTTAAATTAAATTCACCTTATAAATGAGCAGAAACCCAAGGACTCTTTGGTAGAATCATTGGATACCAACAAAGGAGTTGTATTTCCTTTTTCGTTAACTAGTGCCTGAAAACTACTGTTTAGGGGTTTATTAATCTTCGTGGCTAGGTTGTGAACCAAAACACCTTCTCCCTAGTAGGGCTGAGTTCTGCTCTCCCACCCACACAGTTGACTCGATGGTGCTATTTCTAATAGATGACATCTATTAGATGTCTGGGGGTGTAGTCTTTGAAGACGATCTAGTGCCCCTGTAGGAAAAAAACACTGATTTTTTTTTTTTTTTTTTTGAATGCAGAAAGTGAGAGAGGCTGTTACTTCACAGCCATAGCAGATCTGTTTTGAGATTTGTTCTCACATAGTGCTTCATGTTAGCTCTTTTCTTTTTGTCTGTCTTCCTTGAGACCATCTGTAGTTGAGCTGACCTTTAAAATTTTTCTTTGCTGCTATGGCTCTTACAAAAGAGGTCACTGACTTGGCAGCTCTGCCCTTTTGACCGATTCTTTCTGTTCTCTCTAGGCAGTATAGGTAGTTTAAAAAGTCATAATTTCTTCCGCAACTTAATGTTATCCTCTTCCTCTTGTGATTCCAATAAAACTAAGTGAAACAGGAGACTGTTTTGATAGGAGGAAATGTTTGTCTGAAAAAGGAAATTAAGCTTTACAGTTATTAACTTCAGTATTCTATCTTAGAAAAATAATTCTGCTGTCTATTTAAGAGCTCTCTGACTTGGAAATGTAGCTCCTATAAAAGAGCTGCCATGCACTGTGGCCCACTGAAGGTATGTATAGTCTAGGATATTTTCTGACTGATAATAGTGACAAATGTTATGGAAAGAGGCTGCAGTTCTGCAACCACCAAAAATGGGAGGATATGACTTCCCTTTCCTCTCTTCCATCTGTCTTTCTGTCTGTCCTTTCTTCTCCAAAGCTCTTTCTTACACTTTCTCATCTCCTCCCATGTGCCAGCTTTGCACTTATTGATACTTAACACAACAAAACTTACCACTTTTATTCTGAGGCTCACTCTGAGTTATTTGGGTGAATTACATAAGCGAGCAGGAATATACCAATTGGTGGTAATGGATTATTCCAAACTTTTAGCCTGAGCAATTGGACAGGCACCTTAGTGTCTTGGTCATCTTCTTCCTTCTAGCAGTCTGTGCTGTAGGAACCTCCTGGGGTTGAAGATACATCGGTGTCATGACAGATGATAACTCTCAGTGGTCCTAATGTCCAGGACCATCCTCCTTGTTCTTATTCTGAATTTGTTTCTATACCACTTTCAGGAGAGTTAACTGGAATTCCCTGGATTGTCTAAAGCAGTGGTTTTATTAGTTGTCATCATGATTTGTTTAATTTTCTCACTTTCATAACAATTCTTAACACTTATCTCTTTGGACACTGTGAACATTAATGTCTTCAAAGAGTATTGCTTTGTAGTCTTGAGATCTTGGTACTAAGTTTTGTCTGCACTTACATTCTTGTCTTCAGTCTCCTCTAAGCATTGCTGAAACAGAAAAGGTGTTTCTACCCCACCCTGCCCTCCCTCACCCCCCTCCAGTAATTTTTTGCTAAATTGAAATTTGTCTTTCACAAAATATTTCCCAAATCTTTGCTTAAACAGTATTCTTCCTTAAATTGGTAGGTCATGTTTTGTTTTTTGTGCTTTTAGTTGTGTCATGAGTGACATACACTTTAAATCTTGGTTTCTGTATGTGGGATACTTTGCTTGAATATAGACTGAAGAAATGATGTAATATCATGAATTAAAGGTAGAGGAAGTGACGACTATATGACTAACTTGTCCCTTCTACCCACCCATATTATCTTTTTTCTTCTTCATTCGGTCCCTATGCTACCAAGAAATTGTCTCTATTTTCAGTGAGCCTGTGCCTAGAGCAACAGGAGAGAAACTAGTGGGGAGAGAATAGAGAACTATGGTGATCATGCTTATGTAGCTAGTTATGTCTGCTTGGTGAAAGGGTCCATTCATGGACAGTCATTGTTACTGTTCTGTATATACTCAGTTAAAAGGTTACAGATATGTTTGAAGTCTGCCATCTGGTCTGGCACAGTACAATATTATACCCCTCCCCCTCAACATGATGGAATTCTTTATGTCTGTAACCCAGTTTGCACAGCTGAGAGATCCTGACTTACATACAAAGATAATGCATAATTTAGCAGTTGGTAATGCTACATGATTTTGGTTTTTTAGCTTATACTTACTATTGTAGTTTTAGACTTGATGTATATGAGGTGATAAACGTGACAGGGGACATTAAAGCTACAGGTTCTCTGCTTGACTTTGCAGAGAAGTCAGCAGTATAGAGTGAACATCAGTGTTTCTTTCGAGGAAAACAAGGGATGTGTTGGGGTCTGACATTCAGTAATGGTTGTAATGTAAGCTAAGCACACACAGACAAACCTGTATTGGCTAATAACTCCCATGAGATAAAGTGGGAAACTTGAAATGTGCATAAGGAAAGACAAAGTTTGTGTTCCATAGCCGTTTTGCCTTAGTTCTTTGTGGTGGGTTGACCCTGGCTGGATGCCGGGTGCCCATCAAAGATGCTCTGTCACTCCCCTCCTCAGCTGGACAGGGGAGAGAAAATATAATGAAAGGCTCATTGGTCAAGGTAAGGACAGGGAGAGATCACTCAGCAATTACTGTCATGGGCCAAACAGACTTGACTTGGGGAAATGAGCTTCATTTATTACTAATCAAATCACAGCAGGGTAATGAGAAATAAAAACTAAATCTTAAAAACACCCTCCCACCACCCGTCCCTTCTTCCTAGGCTTAACTTTACTCCTGAGTTCTCTACCTCCTTCCCCCCAAGCAGTGCAGGGGGGCAGGGGACGGTGGTTGCAGTCAGTTGTTTTTGCTGTTCCTTCCTCCTCAGGGGGAGGA